CCAATTTATCACCGCCTTTAAATTAAAAGAATTAGTAATTTTAAATCTGCATAAATTTATCTTTTTAATTATGAAAATGAATAGGTAAAAATTTAACAATAACATTACTAGAGAAAAAACAAGTAAATTACAGAAAATCATCATGTATATTATGTTTACACACAATCTTTTGTAATGTTAATGAAGACATTTTTTGTTCACTATGATGTCTCTTTTTGCCTCCTGCATTGATTAAATACATATAGATAGACCCATGCTATTGTTTGGAGCGAACAGGCCAACGGCCGGCGAACAAGAGATGGCGCACTAACAGTCGGCCGTCAAACGCCGGCGAAAAGCTTGGACACCAATCGCGCGCGTAGATAACCCAAATCGCAGCAACAATACATTTAATAAAGCTACCACTCGACAGAGGGCGACGAAAACAATGTGTAAAAATCTCATAGTAACCATTTATATAATTTGCAACGTTGCCAGATGAGCCTAGCACAACTTTGCCGTTATTTCTAGTCGATTAGATTTTATTTCGTTTAAAAGTTTCTGGTGAATAAATGGAATTATTATAATGAATAAACAATACAAACAAATTATTACTTGTTATTTTAAATACTTGTTAGTGTTGATGAAAACATAAATGGTAATTAAAGTTATTCTAAATACGGTCCGGTCCGGTAGTTCAAATTTTACAGTACGAGTGATATGTTTCAGGACGAGTAGGTAGCCGAGTCTTTAATTTCGAAACGAGTACTGCGAAAAGAGTTACCGGACGTATGTTGTTATGTATTTTATTTCATACTGTCAACATACTTTTTTATTCGATAAAATTATTATTATTTTGAGAAAAAATCCAAATCGAGTCACTTTTTCTGACATCGTTAGCAACCGCTCTTTGGTAAATGTTTTAATTTGTTTATTCGTGCAAATCAGCATCATATGTTTAAACACATAGTACTTATAACACTTTACAGGACTTATTGTTTTGTATAATCCGACTCGATGGACGAATGTTTTGTGCAATCCGTCTCGAAGGACCAATGTTTGTGCAACTCGGCTCGTCCTACCAGAATTTTTTGTAATCTGGTTGATACGACAATGTGATACCGAATTGTACTTTGATATTGCTCCAAGGACCTTTGTTTTCTTGCGTGCGAGATAATAGACAGCGTTCGGTTTCGATGTTTAATACAGGACGGTTACAGAAGTACTAAATTTACATTTGTATTTACAATAACAGGTAAAGCAAAAGAGACCCAAAAGGGTCAGTGGCCGCTTCCGGAAATGGAAGACTTGTCCTTTTTGGCCACGGAGGTAGAAGAGTGTCTCTTCTACCTCCGTGTTTTTGGCTCAATTTTATCGGACTTGTCTGTTTTTTTGATTTTACCGGAATAGTTCGATCCAGTAAAACGTCAAACTTGACATAGTATGAAGTAAAATAAATAAATTTTATGATGTAAATACAATTAAGTGTATCGATAATAATTCGCTACTGAAAATTTATTGAAATATAATTTGTGTTAAAAAAAGATTTTTGTGGTTTTATGGTTTATTAAATGTAATTAAAATAAATAATATCAAGAACTTGTATTATATATCAAAAACATTCATTGTAAATAAGAAAATTATGTAAATAAACCATAAAACCATACAAAATTTTTCTGCGACCTCTATTCAAAATCCCAGTTTACCAATAGGAATTAAGGCACAAAGATGTTTCACTGAATTTATTACCGATTTTTCAAGAAAAGTATGCTTATAAGCCTATAAGCGTCTAATGGGTTAAAACAACAAATAATAATCACAATTTATTTGTTTTATGTGTTCATTACAATAATCCCATTTATTTACCAGAAACTTCTAAATGAAATAATATCTGGTTGACGAGAAATATCCGCAAATTTGTGTTAGGCTCATCTGGCAACGTTTTCGGTAGGTAGGTATCAATGGAATAATGCGATTAGGTATACTGACCGTTTTAAGGAGTGCTCGTCCAATAGTGCGTAAACTAAAAGATTTGGTAATTTTCTTGGAAGAGTTTGTTTCTTCAATGAAAATTTATGGTTTTTAATTCTTCGGCCGCTTGAAAGTCTCGCCATGTGAAAATAGATTATTTGATAACCTGTTTCGTAATAATTGTAAATACGAACAAAAGCATATTTGCATATTCTAAACAACTGGCCATATCGATTCCAAACTTGTACAGATATGTTTTTTATTGTTTCTGTTTTCAATGAAATAAATTTTATTTGCAAAATACTTAATGTCCAACGACATATCACGCATACATACTACCCCATTTACTATATTTTCAATCTGTGCATTTTTCGCTTCATTCGTAGGAGCCAAGTAAGAAGTATCAGTGAGACCGGCGGACTTTCAATAGCTCGTAAATGAAAAGATTTAGTAAAGTTTCCTAGAACAGTCTGTCTCTTCATAAAAAAATTTAGACATTTTTACTATGAAATATAGGTACAATACGCTATATTCCAGTGCTTGTTTTCTTTGAGATACGACTAGTTCTTGTGCCGAAGTGAAACACCAAAAAGTCTAAAGTCCGGAAATCAGAGTGAATTTTAAAACACATAAAACGACTTCTTTATTTATTTAAATATTGTCCTGTAACGTCCTGTGACGTGGAATGGAGTTTCTTAATGTACAAAAGTATGTTAGATAATAACCGAAAAATTTTCTTGATTAAAACTAAAGGAAACACAATTATTACTTGGAATAAAAATAAAGAATATCAAGAACTTGTGCTATGTATTAAAAATATTTAATTTCAAATAAGTAAATTATGTTAATAAACCATAAAACCACAAAAATCTTTTTTTAACACAAATTATATTTCAATAAATTTTCAGTAGCGAATTATCGATATACTCAATTGTATTTACATCATAATAGTTATTTATTATACAAGCGATTAAAGTGAATGTTTAATGAGCGGCCAGTTTAAGGCGAGAGCGGCGTATGCCGCGAGCGCCTTAAGACCACGAGTTACACATTCATTTTAACCGCGAGTGTAATACAAACTTTTATTCAATTTTGACAACCCCAAGTCCCAAATTGTGAAAAAATTGGTGATTCAAAGTTCACATTCGAGAAACGTCAGAATTGACAGCGACCAAATAAAAGTTTTATATGCGTAGAATTTAGGTTACAATATCAGGTGTGTGTGTGTAGTATGTGACTCTGGCGACGGTGTTTGTTTATTTTAAGCAAACTAAAATTATCGAAAAATTGCAAAATCATGCAAGATTCCAACGGCAAAACTTGCTCCCAAAAAAGAGCAAATCAGAAAGTGTATCAAAAGTTCCTTAGATGGAAAGAGCAGCAAGGCATTGGAGAAATTACAGAAATGGTAACCATGGTTTTAAAACAGCAAAATAAAAATTTTATTTCGCTAGCGGTTTAAACATTTTATGGTGCTACCGGATAAACCAAAGCTTTAGTGGCCTACTGACGGCAAAATAAACGTTTGTTTACATGTCAAAATTGAATAAAATTTATTTATTTTACTTTATACTATGTCAAGTTTGACGTTTTACTGGATCGAACGATTCCGGTAAAATCAAAAAAACGGACAAGTCCGATAAAATTGAGCCAAAAAGGACAAGTGTTCCATTTCCGGAAGCGGCCACTGACCCTTTTGGGTCTCTTTTGCTTTACCTGTTATTGTAAATACAAATGTAAATTTAGTATTTCTGTAACCGTCCTGTATTAAACATCGAAACCGAACGCTGTCTATTATCTCGCACGCAAGAAAACAAAGGTCCTTGGAGCAATATCAAAGTACAATTCGGTATCACATTGTCGTATCAACCAGATTACAAAAAATACTGGTAAGACGAGCCGAGTTGCACAAACATTGGTCCTTCGAGACGGATTGCACAAAACATTCGTCCATCGAGTCGGATTATACAAAACAATAAAGTCCTGTAAAGTGTTATAAGTACTATGTGTTTAAACATATGATGCTGATTTGCACGAATAAACAAATTAAAACATTTACCAAAGAGCGGTTGCTAACGATGTCAGAAAAAGTGACTCGATTTGGATTTTTTCTCAAAATAATAATAATATTATCGAATAAAAAAGTATGTTGACAGTATGAAATAAAATACATAACAACATACGTCCGGTAACTCTTTTCGCAGTACTCGTTTCGAAATTAAAGACTCGGCTACGTACTCGTCCTGAAACATATTACTCGTACTGTAAAATTTGAGCTACCGGACCGGACCGTATTTAGAATAACTTTAATTACCATTTATGTTTTCATCAACACTAACAAATATTTAAAATAACAAGTAATAATTTGTTTGTATTGTTTATTCATTATAATAATTCCATTTATTCACCAGAAACTTTTAAACGAAATAAAATCTAATCGACTAGAAATAACGGCAAAGTTGTGCTAGGCTCATCTGGCAACGTTGCAAATTATATAAATGGTTACTATGAGATTTTTACATTGTTTTCGTCGCCCTCTGTCGAGTGGTAGCTTTATTAAATGTATTGTTGCTGCGATTTGGGTTATCTACGCGCGCGATTGGTGTCCAAGCTTTTCGCCGGCGTTTGACGGCCGACTGTTGGTGCGCCATCTCTTGTTCGCCGGCCGTTGGCCTGTTCGCTCCAAACAATAGCATGGGTCTATCTATATGTATTTAATCAATGCCTCCTGTAAGTAATGGAAATTAATGACATGCAATGGAAGTTATCATTAGATGAGAAAATACTTTGTATGTCTTCGCTGTGGAATACTTAACTTTGCCTAAGTAACATACGTAAAAATAAAATACGCATATCCCTTGCTTTTGTACGAAAAACACCAATTGAAAATAATCTACAATACGTAGATACATCGCAAAAGTTTTGCTGTGTTTTTATTTACTACCGTAGTATACAAGCCATCTGACCTCGACTGTACATTTTAGTTCGTGTTAGATAAGTTTAAATTTTGCACAGTAGTGGGGAAATATCTATCCATTTATTTTACCAACCTGAACTTGTCCGTGATGAATGTCATCAAGTATTGCATGATCTTGTGATAAAGATCGAGTAGTAAGCTTTTTGCGACGTCTTTTGTGCATTGTGAGGAATCGTCCGGAGCAGCCGAGGGAAGGACTAGAACCCATTGCATCCAACAAGACCCAATCTTCTTTGGAAAAACACTTGGTTAAAACTGGAACTTCTACGGGTCCTGCAAAAATAAAAACATACAGTATGTATTGTACAGTTTCAATACCTTCAGAAATATTACACTTAGACATAATTCTTTTGTTATAAAAGTGCAATCGTTCTATTCGAAAGTTTTAAAAAATTTGGTAACAAGGAGATAAAATAATTATTCTGAATTTTTTGCAGTAATTATGACTAAAATTATGTGAAAAAAAGTTAGTGATGGAGAGTGATATATAAAAATATAAAAAATACTAACAATTATTAAATTCGTTGCTTCGTTTTTATAATTTTAACCGCAAAAAAGTAGATATATTTTACGTGTAATTTGTAAATAACACTCCTATGCTAAACTCAAAATAAACAAAATTTAAATAATTACATTATTTATGACTGTGGCGCCTGTACTCTTATTTGAAGACTATCAATATCGATACGTAAAATTATAGTACGTATTAAGATTAAGTTTTCCAACAAGATATTTGTGATGTAGAGGAATTTTTATTATTATTACTATTACTGTTATAATTTAAATAAATGAAGTTTCAAAACAGGTGGTTTTTCTTTAAAAAGATACATTTGAACTTTATAATAATATGATAAGCAGATAAAACTATCGTTTGAGTGGCCGAAAACAAAGACCTAAATGACAAGTACTTTTCGCTCTTGTTTTTACGCATACACCAATGTCCTCTTTTACGGAATGGAGAGACTAAATTTCCACGATCCATATACGAACAGCCCTGAAGGACAACAGTGTCACGATGTTAGATGACGTCTGGCATTGTTCTGAGAATGGTCGAACCGAAACACGTACCGCTGGAATGCAGTTTTAGACACCAAGCACGCAATTGGATTTAGCAATCAACTAAGCTAAATTCTTACTGGCCACAAGGAAGAATTTAAACTTTTTCGTGAATATTCAAGTGATTACGAGTAATTACGAATTCCGTTTCCACGTTCCCGTACACATGGTATCGCCCACCGAAGTTGCCAAAATTTCTTACTGTCTACGTTGGAATGAAAGTGTAAGGTGCGAATCGATAGTTCTTTGATTGAGTGTGTCATAGAAATAAGTTTATATTTTTGATTTACGTAAGTATTATTTACAGTATTTTTGACAATGCCATTACCGTAAATGCTTACGCATCGGTTTATTCTTTGAAAGCTTGTGGACCTGAATACAAATTATTCTGATAGCAGAGCCCTTGAACTAGGTACTATTTGATTATAGATAGCGCAATATCTTTATATCGCAAATGATGACGTCGTAAAAGTAGATTCTTCGGCGCAAGCTGCTTTTACTGTAACAAATTTTCGACAAAAATGTTTTTCCAACAGTTTATAGTTTCGTAAGTTGAACACAGTGGCAGAAATCGTGTTCCGAAATTCCTATAAATCTTGGTTGCGTGGTGAAAATTTTCACCAAAATTTTAAAAACAAGGTGATAATAAACTGACCTTGCATTGTATAGAGAAAGTTGTAGACAGGTCATACTTAAGATTCCATAACAATAAGTCTGTTAATACTGGAGATATTTAATTCTGAAAATGTATTGAGCCAAATCTAGCGGTTCCCCTTTGGAAATCTAAACATAAGCAGTTGTGAGTGAAACGAATAGAATGAATGGTCTTAGATTTTCTTTTGTTACCTCTTTGCAGGAAATGTAGACTCTCACTTTATTAATAAATCAAAGGTATTTGCCTTTTGCTCATTTTTACTTCTCCAGTGTAAGCTAAGGAAGTAGAGGATCAATTTGGCGAATGAATAATTTTATATTTATCTCAATTTTTTTTATGTAAATCTTGTTTGAAATTTATACGGTGAAACGATCTTTTATTTGTGATTTAATAGTGTACTCGTATTTTTAATGGCACGTATATAGCTATTATCGCAAAAAAAATACAAAGGCTAATTTTACATTTTGCCTTGGAATCTATGTACTCTGAAATTTTGGACAACTACTCTAATTGATTTAACGATTACAGAACAATTATTAAAAATCCCTCTTTATTGTTCGCGTTTCTTTAAAATGAACAGATCAATTAATTTTATTGATTAAATCAAAACTTTTTTAATCTATAATAGGGGTTTATAATTTATTAAATTACCGCAATTTTATAACACATATTTAATATTTTAATATAAAATTAAAGTATCATAATCATTTCAAACAAATTAAAAGTTGCATTATTCAGTACGATCCCATACATCATTAATTCTTCCAATTACAGATGTTGACTCGACGGTCATAACTGCGGTGAATACACGTCTACAATCTCGACAGTTAAAATTTAATATCAGAATTACTTTAGATACTGTCGACAAACAAGAAGTTCAGAATTTATTAGTTATACTTGTCAATAAATTCAAGGATAAATTCACATTATTCAGATCCCGTAATTGATCACTTCGAACTACTGTAAAATTATTACCTACGGCATAAATGTACATTAGGATTTACAAACAGGAACAATATTGTAGATGTTACCGGAAATGTGGAATTCTTTAGTATTTTTATCAAATTAAACTGTTTAACTTACCCTCCCACACGTGGACTCATTCTTAACACTTTTCAACTATTACAGTCAATATTTGAAAAATAAAGCAAAAAATTGTTCCCTTGCCTTACGTATAAGCACAGAATTTTAAATTAATTATGCAAATACTTGAACAAAAAACATTGCTCACTAAATGTGTAACGAGCGTTAATAAAATGGGGCACATTATTTCACGTTAACCTATATAAATATCTCTTCATTATCAGCCAATAATTCAAGGTTATAACTAATTAACAGACTGAAGAACCGGAGATTAACAGAACAACCACAACCACAATAATTCAGATCAGTGCACCTCCAGTTCAACATCACGCTATCTCGTGTAGAAACGTAGCTGTTGGTAACAACTCACTCCACATTTAAATTTAGTAAAACTATACTGTTCCATTTTTCGTTATTTGAGGCTTCTGTGTCTTGTCATTTATAATCAAGTTTTATTGCACTTTTGTAGGTCGGCGGCAATAATGAAATAAATATATAGTCTACAATCCTGATTTACGTATTGTTCATGTAACACTCAAAACATTGGTTGTAAATAAATAAAGAATGTTTTGTAAATCTATTTAACGACTGAATAAATTAGATGGTGATTTTGCTTTGAAGGCTTTACAACATAAATATCTACTAAAAACTAACGAAAAAATTGAGAAAACTTAAAAGGGATTAACCGAAATTTGTTTCAAGTGAGTTTTCCATAACAAAATTTTGTTATGACATGATCAACATTTTAAGAAAAACACTTACTTATATTAATTTCAATAGGTGCAATTATATTAATCTGAATAGTAACAATACTGTGTTCTCAAATTTTCTGGAAAATAGGATGAATCACTCTTGATTTGGTTAATAAAAATCCTAGGATCTGTAGTCTGTGAAGTTGACTACCGCAGTAGTAATGGAAGATCGTACTACGTGTCTTAAGAACAAGAAGGATTAAACAATAAAGAATATAATAACAATAAACAAAATCAAGGTAGATTCATAAACCACAAGTACAGGGGTATATTATTTCTTAAAATTTACGTAACCTTAACTATGCATTATAATGAACGGACGTCATCAAATTGTTGGTGGGAATAGTTTTGCATCATTTGAATGACCACGTCCTACCTGACCCTGACTCGAACATGTTATTATCCCTAAATACCGAAAATATCAATTCACTGTCCAACCGTTTCAATAGATATGATGTCAATTTTTTGGACAAAACAGTTTAATTTCCCAGGGTCCTACTTACATCATTTACATGCCTAACCCTCATTAGATGCAGTAATTCTCGACAACATAATAAAATTCTTCTAGCAGAAAAGCCTACCAAGCTACTTTTGCCGGGAATTAATTTGTGTTAATTAAGTAGCTAATTCTTGAGATTTTTATCGTCGTTTTCGGTGAATGCTGTTACTGTTACGTCAACTATTGTTGCAGATTATTTGGCTCACGCCGTTTTACTTTAAGTAAGTTCAGCTTTTCCACATTTGTCGTTAGTACTCTCTGGCACATTTATTTTTGAACCAACAAAATAAGAATGTACTTTACTAGTGCTTGTTCTTTCGTTTTTCCTTTTTTTGTAGGTAACATTGTATGCTAACCACTGCCATTCGTTTTCTTTGAAAATTCCTCTGCTAGTGTTTTTTCCCTAATATTAATTAATTTTTGAAGCGCACGAAAAGCTTTGTTAAACCTTTCTCGCAATTTCATGCTTTGCCTAAAATTTTTGCATGTTTTTATTAAACAATGTTTTCTTGTACCCTCGGACTTTTTGATTTATGTATTTCTTCGTTGTCGTTGTTTCGTTGTCTTAATCGTCGCTGAAGTCTTCACCATTCTCCTTATTGTCTTCGTCTTTAGTATCAACATTTTATCGTAGTAGTTGTATTTTACTGATTGTTTTTTTTTGTGGCATCTACATCTAGACTCAAAAAAACACTCGATATGTCCTTTTTTTACAACAAATTTTCTTTTATTAATTTCCATGCGTCGATAAAGTAAAACCATCAAACTGACGCATTCGAAATTTATAGTCCTTTTTATCGTATTCGTATGCAAAAATTGGTTTATTAAAATTGACACATATTATTTGTTGTCGCTGTTACCATATTATCTTGTGAATAATGTGTTCCAAATTTTGTACTTTATGTCTTATCTGTTATTACATAGGTATAATAAGCGTATTATTCAGTTCTATGATCATTTAGCTTTCCAATTGTTTTATTAAATATAGCAACAACACAAACACAAAATACAAAAATAATTACTCAAGTTGATGATTCTTGACAAAAGACTATTTGTCCCGTTATCATAAATATCAAAGTTGTTTCTAGAATTATCAGAAACCTTTAAGATACTCCTACATAATAATAATAATATGTAATTGAAGTGTTATTTTGGAAGATTTAGATTAGAACTAGTTACAATTGGCACAAATTGCAATTTATAGAAACCAAGGTAGGTGCACAATGTAATTAATAACTTTTTAATTTGAGATAACTTCTTTTATTATATTTTTTTAAACTGAACTAAATGATTAGATAACAAATCAGTGAAAACGCATTTGAAGACAAATATCATTATCTATCTATCAATAAAACATAAGTACATTTTTTTAAACAGAATTTTTATGTTATGTAATACCAAATAAATAAATAAATAAAATAAACACTCATTGAAGTATTTGTTTACTGATCTGCTTAATATTTGGTAAATATTTTTTGCAAACCGTAAATATAAATTAATTTCTTCTGTGTGTTAGGTTTTATTATTTGTTGTACTTCTTTCAAGTTGTTTTCACGCAGCCAAAAATGTACAATATTCATTCGGATTTAGACCTAACTGATATGCAGAATGTAATGTTAATTACATATATAATACGATAATAGGACTATCATATTATCACTTCAAATGGATTTGATATTATTAATTTTTATAGCTAAATTAATACACCATTAGGTGATGTTATGAATTTAAACTACGAAGAAGAAACTTTTTTCTCATAACAAACAAATGCAGTAATTCATACACTAATAAAATAATATTTTATAGATAACCTAGTTTTCTTTATCCTCTTTTATTTTACCGCTATCTATTTTTTCATAAATTCAGTAAGTCTTGGGCTAACGTGACATACTTTTTGTCCCTTTTTCATGGACGGAAAAACTTGTTTACACCTTGCTATATTTTTTGTATTTCAAACTATCGTAAGCGAAACTTCCCACAAGATTTTTTCCTGACCATGTATGTAATTAGACTATTTTTTTTTAAGTTACAAAAAATGAAAAAATATTTGAAAGAACAATAAATGCTGTGTTTCTAAATTCTTTTTTAATTCCATCTTCACAACATTAAAACAATTTATGATAATGCACTGAAATTAATTTAATTAAAAAATATAAAATTTTTGCATTATCAGAATGTGAGAGAGTATTTTGCACACTGGCACAGTAGACGTAACCATTCAAAATCATTAGACCGTTGGGAAACCCTTCATATTAGAGTTTAATGAACAGTAATTAATAATAATTAATTTACCATTATTTTATAATTCATTTTGTTAAGTATGTTATGACGAGATTTGAAGAGCTGCAATAAACTAGTATGTAAAGTAAGAAAAACATTTTTTTTTTTAAATGTGAATTTATATCATATTACCCTGATGGAACATTGTCCTTGTGGAACTTCAGAAATCTTAACAACTAATCTGTAGTCTAGTTTATGCAGTTGCCAGGGACGTTGAACTGATTATTCTTTAACAACATTAAAAAGCAAACCATGAAAAATAATCCCAGAATGAATATCCTTTCTATTACATGATATACCATTTCGGATTTCATTGTGCGTTGTTTTTATATTTCGGCTTTTCGCCTGTACGTGTGCACAGACGAACAGACAAAAAATTAATTTTAGCATAACTCCACTCCACAATATATACACGTTCTGTGTCAACGTCCGAATCCGTTTGTAAACACATCCGTTCGGTTATTTTTTATTTCTATTGAAAGTAGACTTTAGATGTTATCTTTTTCATATTAAACAAATAAAAGTATCTTTGAGTTTGTGGAATTTGCTTACTACATTTTTCTGAAAATTTACACTTTGTTGAAGAATACTTGCAACTAAATATCACTAACACGACACGTTTTTGTCTCTATTCAGGTTTGACATGCGAAGGATGCTAAGCAACATTTAATTAGTTTCAATTACCAGGTAATTATTTGCTTTGTTAATGTTATGTGTATCAAATAATTTGCAATTGTAAGTATCAATTAAAAAGGTAATAACCTTTTTAATTGATACTTACAAATGCCTCTTTCAGCTTTTTTTCTTTTGGGTGAAGTGCGCCATTTAAATAGATTTTCGTCCTTGCTGTTGTTGGGCTGATTTTATTTATGACAATTAACTACTAGAACATTGAATCATCAATTTTGTCGAAGGAGATCAGATCAGATATTCTATTACAGTGGACATAAAGCCAAATCGAAAAAAAAAAAAATTTTTAGAAGCTGTAATTTTACATACTTCTCAAGATCTATAATTGATATCTAATGTCATGTTTTTTTTCGTTCGTATGTCGTTTCGTCTGTCGATTTTGTCTTAGCAGTTTTATTATGTACACTTGTACAGATAATCCTCGAAACTACCAATTATTAATTTGAAACTTCATACCGATGTATGGCATTTCAAAATATTGTAAACTAGGTATATGTACTTATTTTTTTTGTTTAGTAGTCTGTTATTATTTTTAACTTTATAAATATGATGCGAGCTATTTCGTATGAAAGATTTACCAAATCCGAAAAATATGGAATATTTTTTACTATCACAATTACTTGAAAATAATAAACTAGAGTTACTAAAGTTAATGTACTAGTGTTCTATAAATTCAGCTGTCCTGGGCTTACACAAATCTGCAAACTGATTCCAAAAAATTATGAAAATTTTGTGTATATTCAAATTAAATTTTGGAGGTTTAGATTTGTTAATTCACTGTACGCTAATCAACTAAATACACGTTTTTCATGAGAAGAAGACTCATATGAATGCGTCCGTTTTATCTTCCAATTTTCATTTATTTAAAAATAAAGTGTTTAGAAAAAAAATCAAATGAAGCGGAATTGTGATTCGTGTTTTAGACAGAAAATGTTTAAACTCGTAGTGTGTAACACAAAAGATTCATAACACTGACTGTTTGTTAATTCTTCTTAGAACATGTATATGAGTATTAAACTGGAATATTGATGTGCAGAATGGCAACCTCACTATACGATTCTTATAAACACTTTCGAAAAAGTCCAGAGAAAATTATGTAAATATTTATTTTATATCAAACCAAAAATCGAAATTATTCAAGCTAGAGTTATCCACAATGTGAACTCTCATTGTGTTTAATTGTCAACTCTATATATAATGACGTCATTACATAACGTGAAAATAACCATATTACAACATTTGCCTTAGTCATTGTTTAGGAAGTAAAAAACACAAGCAATTAAATAATGAAAAAAGTTGCTAAATCATTTGGATATTCCCCAGTTCTTTGTTGCCACCCGTAAATGTAGGTCTCCGAAAAATACAAATAAAATAATTAAATTTTTCAACTTACAAAACAACATCAAGAATTACTAAAAAAAAAATTGAACTAAGCTTTACGAATTCCTGGGAAAGCCGAGTTTACAATAGGCAAGCGAGACAGAAGCGCATTTCGCTCTCAGATAATTGTTTTCGGACTGCCTTTAGTCTACTTATATTTTTGTGTTTAATGACTCTTTTCGGTCGTTCAAAAAATTCGGAGTGTAAGTAATAATAAACAATGACGTCTGGCGGACCTTCTGTATCGACAGTGTACCTTCCACATTGCACATCGGTACTGCACTTCGTTCGTCCACTTAAAACGTACCTATAGATAGGCCAGGGAGATTAACAATTCACATAGCATTTTGTTCCAGGTGCGTGAGGTCGATGAGCGCTGAACCGAAATTCAAAAGTGTAAGATGCTGGTATTAATTATTGTGGGTTTGCTTTGTGCTCCATTTGTGTGGTGGTATTACGTTTTATATAAATACAGATCTGTAAATAAGATTCCTGGTCCCAAACCTTTACCAGTTATCGGAAGTGCCATAGCTGTTGGAGATACCCCTCAACGTAAGTCATAGTTTTTTAAATAGCTATTAAGGGTGTAATGAATTATAATTATGTAAAAACGTGCACACTTTTTACGTTGTTATCGCTTATGTTTTATTAATTTAATTGGTAATAAATATAAAAACCGCAAATGTTTTGGAAGCTTCTTGTCACCCTTTTCACGTCCTTTATAAATTTATCACGTATTAATTGCTGATAACATCGGACTTTCATACACACTAAATGCTGCACGCAATTTACATAATTAAGTATTTTTCATTTAAATATAAATAAATTTTATTTATACATATTAATTGTCCACACTTTTCTTTTTAATTAAGCGTTATAGTAAAATATATTTGTTTATGGTACACACAATGCGCTGCTTACTGAAGAACTTTTATTTTTCAGAATTTTTATGTAACCTTTTGAAGTTTCGACAGCAATATGGTACCGTCTTTAAATTATACATAGCAAACGATTTGAGAATTCTCGTCAGTAACCCTGAGTTGATGGAATCCGTGTTGAGCTCAAATGTACATATAACAAAATCAAACGCCTACGATCTGCTAAAAGACTGGTTAGGTACAGGGCTTCTTATCAGTACAGGTAAAATCACTATCTTGTCTACATTAGATGCAAAATTTGAGCCCAAGTGATAACACTGTCCACAATTAACTTTACAGGACGGAAATGGAAGTCCCGTCGAAAAATGATAACACCTACTTTTCATTTCAAAATATTGGATCAGTTTTTGGAAATTTTTAATGCATGTGGCAACACACTAGTTGAAAAATTATCGAAAGAAGTAGGAAAAACCTCCGTCGATGTATATCCGTACATAAATCTGTATTCTTTAGACGTAATATGTGGTGCGACTATCTAAAGTACATAATGTAGATAAACCCTCAAAAATAATAATTGCAGAAACGTCGATGGGTGTGAAAGTTTCAGTACAGCAAGGAGAAAACACGGAATACGTAGAAGCCGTTCGAGGTTTTTTGGATATTTTCATCACTCGAAATTTCTCTACGTGGAAAAGATTCGACTTATTTTTCAGAATGACAGAAATGTATCAAACTTTCAAAAAGTATTTAAAAATCATGCACGGATTTTCAAACGATGTTATTAGAAGACGACGCGAAGAAAAATCAAAAGAAAAGTCACGACCGCTCTATTCTGATGACGGTACAAAGCGTAAAATCGCTCTATTAGATATGTTATTAGAGTCTGAAGATAACGTTACTCTGTCAAATGAAGACATCAGAGAAGAAATTGATACATTTATGTTTGAAGGACACGACACAACTACCTCTGGAATTGCCTTTGCAATGTTGGCATTAGCGGACAATCCAGAAGTTCAAGAAAAGGTGTACGAAGAAGTTATTTCCATAGTGGGAGATGAGCAAAACGTTACAATGCAACATATGCAAGAAACAAAGTACTTGGAGATGACGTTGAAAGAAGTTCAGAGGCTTTATCCGTCGGTACCTATATTTGAGCGTCGTTTAGAAGAAGACTGGCAGATAGGTTTAGCATTAAAGTGATCAATTAGTGGAATATAACTAAAGTTTTATTTTAGGCGATTATCTTTTACCAAAAGATATTTTTATCAGTTTGTTCATTTACGCCATGCATCATGATGAAAAATATTTTCCGGATCCAGAAAAGTTTGACCCGAACAGATTTTTACCAGAAAATCAATCGGAAAGGCATAACTATGCTTATGTACCATTCAGTGCAGGAGCTAGGAATTGTATTGGTAAGAATCTCATATTGTAACACACAACAAAGTTTTAAATAATCTAAAAAACAGTTACTCTAACACAACAGAATGTTCTCTTTAGTACATAGATTGTAAAGTTAAAAATGAAATAACTTCTCAGAAATAATTTCAAGTTTATTTTCAGGTCAAAAATTTGCCATGCTCGAAATGAAAGCCACCATTGTGAAAGTTGTCAAGAAATATCGTATTCTACCAGTTCCTAATTACAAACCACAACTAGGATTAGCCGCTATTTTGAAATCTTACAATGGAGTTTGTGTTCGACTGCAACCGAGAGAACAAATTTAAAATTTTTATTTAAATTTCCGACTTCCCATTGAGGGAAGCTGTAGCAACGTTGATTTTTATTTGTTATCTTTAGTAAATTTAGTAACACAACTGTTATTTTATTAGCTCATAAAGTGTTTATATGTGAAATATGTAAATTAAATTTTGTATTCTTTGTAATATGATTATTGTAACGTCATTTTTCGACGATGTTTGGATAAAACTCCACTTGCTACGATAGGCAACCCACAATACACATGTGTTTGGGAAATAAATACGAATACGTAAAATAATTTGAAATCTCGGCACTGTGTCTCACATTCTATCGATTTTAGAACCGTTTTTTTTGAGACAATTAAAATTTTATTAAACTCTGTTTAAATTCTTAAAGGTTTCTGTAAAATAAATGCAAGCGGTAATGTCTGGTTTGAGCATTCTGAATACATCTCTTCTCAGGTCACTTATTGAGTTTTAAAAATTAGGTGAATTTCGTTGACTAGAACTATGTACTGTATTTTTTAGGAAAATATACAGTGCTGTTTGCTGTTTTAGAGTCAATTACCTCCCCCTCTCCGCAACTTTAAAACTCCTCCAACAAATTCTCGCCGTTAACACATGCCCAAATTGTAAATCTACAGGTTCTATCAAAGACGACTAGTGATTTTACAAAGAATTTACAAATGAATCATAAAGGAATATTATTGTAGTTAAAGTTAAATTACCCCTTGATAAATAAACGTATAAACGGCATCTCTGTCACCAAAATCCCAAGTTGTTGAAAAATATACTTTAATTATTTTAACACTATATTTTAGGATTATTAACTTGATTATTATTAGTTTTAACACATACATACAACTACTGATCTTTTAAAAATAACTTATGTCGGAAATTGGGGAGCAGAAGTCGTAAAAGCTGATTTTCAATTGTCGTTTCTGAATTGAAATATATATTACTTCGAATTTATTATCATAAAGCTGTGTAATACAGACGGCTTACAAAAATTGTTAATATTAGTAACAAGTAGGTATGTGGGGTTGAGAACATTTTTTTAATTGGTGTTTAATACAAATCGTACAATATCGTAAAATTTAGACCCAAAAAATATATGAAATATTGTGGCTTTTATCAATAACCTCAGCACGAAATAATTATTTGTGTAATTAGCGTTCGAAATAATACTCTAGCGCATGAAAATGAAGTAAACCGAACTGGAATATCATTCGAAAGCTATATAGGCGCAAAATTTTTTGTACAAGTGCACTTTAACGGTGAAATAAATTTGTAGCATTATTTCTATTGATCGCCTACAGTCTGTGTTTTTTACTGTATCTTGTCTTTGTTCGTTATTTACATAAAGCACCGATCATTATTTCGTAATAAACTGTTTCGTTTCGCACTTTGGCTTGAACAAAGAGAAAAGTACATTAATATTGTAATTACCATAGAATTTTTAATTGCTATGCCAACAGGCAACGTTAACAAGGGGTCATCATTAAAAAAAGTTATATTTTGATAAATGGCTATTCACTTTCAACTATACTACTAACACATTTAATTATAAATTTTTAAATCCTCTATTGTACACTACTGTGGAACTTCCTTTGTCTCCGACGTGCAACCAATACGTGATGATATAATTAATATCGTAGACGAGATAACTATATACATATTAAAAAAATATATATTAATTTTACTATGTACAATGTAGAATTAATTCATTGACCATAACATTACCCGTGACTAAAATCTTATAGGATTCGAAAAACATGTTTAACAAAATAAGAATACAAGTTTTCATGTAAATGTAATCCCTGGATTAATGTTAGTGTCTTGCTGTCATGTCCAAATTTTTTTTACATCAGTTCGAATGTTTTAAGTTAAAAATAAGATTACGTACATATTATTAAAATACACGTACTTTGTGACATTCACCCAACAAAAATCCACGATATTTTTTTCCGGGAAAAACAGACACATTATGGGTAGCATTTTAAAGTCTTCATAATAAGCACAAGAAAGTGTACAATGAATAACCCTTTTACAATGGCACCGTTAATAGCAATAGTAGGAAATAAAAATTCAACATGTAATTTGGATGCCTCGGAATTGTTTTGAAACCATGGGGGCTAAAATTATTTACACAAAGGTGTTTAATTTTCCAAAATACTTTTAGCGTGGTATAATTTGAGTATTTAGATTATGTTATGTTATGTTATACAGGAAGTATAGAAGAAAACAATATATGAAGTTAAGAGAAACAAAAAAGGTGTTTAAAACTAACAAATAATCCCGCCTACTCATCCAGAACTGCAAACTCTTTCAGAGTTTAAGAGCAATCCGAAATAATTATCTTAGTAAAATAAAACAGAAATGAAAAGTGTGGGATTTAGCCCTCATTTTTTGATGGCAATTTAAATGAAAATTATATATTATGTGTGGGAAAATCTTTCGAAATCAGTTGAAATATACTCCACAACAACTTCGGCAAGTTTTAATAAACAAAAATTTAATTATAGATCTGGCTGCAGTCCAATTAATAATAACAACAACAACTTTTTTGACACCAGAAAAACACTGGTTCTAATTAAATTGTGCAATGGACATCCGACATATTCCTATTAACATGGGATCACACATGGAACAGATTTCAATAGGATCTGTATTGAAGTTTTTGTTCTTATTAATGAAAAATACTGCTTTAATGTGGGTGAACTTTAGTTAAGGAGTCTGCAGTTTTAGAGAAACCAAATTTTATTAACAAACTCTTGTGACTGACTTTTCACTTTTGTAACGGCACCTTAAACACACACAAAATATCAGCACTCCAGTTTTAAAAGACGACGCTCTAAGCAACTCAACTAATCGGCGGTTGTTGAGCGGTTCTCTTATATTATTGTAACATTTTGTAATAGAGTTTCGATTTTTTTGCAAAAATCTAGATGCCCAGGCTAAAAAATCAAAACCGATTAATAAAACACAAGTACAGGATATGGTATTTACAATGAAAAATTTTGTTCGTGGAAATATCAGACAAATTTTGATTAGCGTTTACACGATATTACTCAAATACCTATAAAATTTGATAGCAATCAGTTCAAATAGTTTCAGAGATTATCTAATAAATATCGACACAGACGGCAGACAGAAACGGAGATCTGTTTTTTCATTCTCGAGGGGTCATGAAACTTCTACAAAACATGAAAGTTATTGTAAATATACAATACTTCCTTAGTTTACGCTCCGGAAGTAAACATGTTTAAAATGGGTTAAAAAAATGTTCACACGCTTTGATTACTATATGACAAAGTTGCTTCTACAAAAATTTCAGTTTTTTAAACAAACGATATTTTAATAACACGTTTCCTCTGGAATTTCTGATTGAAAAATAGATGATTCAGAGGCCATTTTCTTAAATTTAAACTTATTATTATTATTAATTACTTTATCAACTAGTCCAGTTTCGAAACCGTTACATCTAGCTGCATTTTTAATGATTTTGACCTCCTTGTTGACCTTTCCTTATCCAAAGGAGAGGTATAAGGAGTCGCTTGACCAAACAATTGAGGCTTGCCATCTTCTGTTAAGGGCAGCAATGGGAGGTCAATGTCATGGTTGGCGAAACGCGTCGACGAACATTTTTCGTGTTTCGTGAGTATTTATAAACAATACCGATGACGTCATAAATTTACCAGCGTTAACCAATATATTCCGTATTTTGTGTGTTTCATTCAACAATCCAAAATTTTTAACTATCTGTCAAAATCTGCCAAAAAAAATTGGATTGTCACTTAAAAAATGATCAATGATCGGTTTAATCGGTGTATTATTTGTATCGGCTTTAGGACAGATTAGATTTCAGTCAAAACTGTCTTAAATCCACTACAAATACCAACGATTAACCGAAATTTGAGAGGATGATATAAAATGTTCATCATTACTGATGACGTTGAACTTTGACACTACTCAAAAATTTACAGTTTGTTCCTACCGAATACAAGATATATACTGAATGTCTTTTATTTATTTTCAATCGAATCTGTATCAAATTTCGCGACAAATTGCGTATCGCCACAAAATAATCTCCAGTCAAAATGAAGACGTCTTATGAAATAGTAAACATAGTTTCGTCAGAGTCGAAGACACAATTTGAGATTGCCTTTAATGTATTTCTGCGTCCAATTGAGAAGATGTTATCTCTTGCTGCAGCCGCGCACGAAGTAAATAATATTAAGTAGACATCATAAGCATCAAACAGTGTGGTCGTGAACATCCAAAACGATGTACGTGTTAACTTTCTTGGTAACTACAATCGTGATTTTATGTACACCTTTGGTTTGGTGGTACTTCACGTTGGCGAAATTTACTAGTTTGAAAAAAATACCTGGACCTCCACCATTACCATTCATTGGAAACAGCAAAGATGTTGGAAAAACTACGGTTGGTGAGTAACTTTAGTAAAAGTTCAATCAAGAAAAAAGCATTTAAAAAAATCGATCCTATTATAATATTTTTCTAGTTTACACTAGCACGACAATAATGTAAGTTCAATGAAATGTACCAAAATCTATATTAAGAATTTTGTTTATCTTATAAATACAAATTAATATGTTGTCATGACCTTCGGTTCAAATTGTTTAACACTCAAATAGGGAAACTAAGTGACATATATTCTTGTTGGAACCTTGGCAGTATAACAAAAATAGAACTTATTTGATGATATGCAAAAATAAAGAAAATTATTATACGTACATTTTCAGATCTCCTGCAGTCGTTTATGAATTTAAACAAAAAATATGGTTCAGTGATGAAAATTTGGCTAGGTCCGAGATTACACTTGATGATTACTAAACCGGAAGTAGTTGAATTTTTCCTGAATTCCAACATCCATTTGAGTAAATCTAACGGATACGACCTTTTTAAACCATGGCTTGGAGATGGTTTATTAGTAAGCACAGGTAACTAAAAACCAAAAATCGAAAAATTTTCTCTTTATGTTAATATATTTGTAGGTTCGAAATGGAAACTTCGAAGAAAAATGATAACTCCAACGTTCCATTTTAAAATACTAGAGAATTTTTTAGAAACATCGTTTAACAAACAAATCAATATACTTTTAGATGAGTTGCTAAAAGAAGTTGCCAAAACGGACGGATCTGTCGAAATCCATTCCATAATTAATTTATGTTCTTTGGATATCATTTGCGGTAAAAGTGAAAAAATGTATAGTGAGTAACATTAACATATTGTTTCTTGCAGAAACCGCCTTCGGAACTGAGTTAAACGCTCAGGCTAAATGTAATCCAAAATATGTAGAAGCTGTGACAGGATTTCTGGAAATCTTCACTTTACGATTTTTTTCGGCATGGTTGAGATATCCCTTAATATTTAGGTTCTCCGATAAGTATCACAAATATGTCGAATACTTAGAAATATTGCACGACTTCACTACAAATATTATTAAAAAACGAAAAGAAGAATTCAAACTATTACAGAGTAATCCAAAAGTTAGCGAAGAGGGAATAAAGCGAAGAGCGGCACTTCTAGACATGTTATTAGAAGTTTCAGACAACGGGAAAAATTTGACTGATGAAGACATACGAGCAGAAGTCGATACGTTCATGTTTGAGGTAAGTTTGCATGAAAAAAAAACCTTGTTAAATTTAATACATTTACCAGGGACACGATACATCAACCACTGCTATATGCTTTGTTTTGTATGCAATCGGACAAAATCCCGAAATCCAGAAAAAGGTTTACGACGAATTGATATCAGTCTTAGGTACAGATTACAAGGACGAAATTAAATTTAATCAAATTCAAGAACTGAAATACCTGGACATCGTTATTAAAGAAGCAATTAGAATTTACCCTCCCGTACCTCTCATTGAGCGAAGTCTCGAAGAGGATTGCACAGTCGGTGAGATTGCAGTGTCGCTGTTTTAGATGTTTCTCAAGTCTTGAGTTTTAGACGGAATCAAAATTCCGAAAGATACCAACATTTCAATATTTTTATACGGGATGAATTATTCAGAGGAAGTTTATCCGCAACCACATATCTTTGACCCTGAACGATTCCTGCCTGAAAATCAAGGAATAAGACATAATTTCGCGTATGTGCCTTTTAGTGCCGGCCCCAGAAACTGTATCGGTAAGTTGCAGCATACTTATGAAGTAAATTACTAATTTATGAGTCAGGTCAAAAGTTCGCCCTGCTGGAGTTAAAAACCACCGTTGCGAAGATCCTGAGATGTTTTGAAATTTCACCTGACCCTAGCAAGCCCCCAGAAGTTGGAATGTGTTCAGTTCTAAAGTCAAGGAATGGGATACACATGTACCTCAAAGCCAGAAATAATTAATATAGAAAAAAACTGAACTAGTTAGTAAATTAGTTATACTATTATTTGTACGTAAATTAATTACGAGTACATATTGTCCACAACAAATTATTAAAGTATTTTCTATAATCACCGATAGTCCTTGTTTATGTTGTTGGTTTTTCGTGGAATTAATGAACGATTTTACCAAATATGTTAACGCAAGCGCTAGTTGTGGAAGGACTACTTTAACGAAACGTAAAATATCAATAGAACTTTTACTTACTTTTGGTAGATATAATCCGCGAAATTCTGAAATGTATTGTATAAAAACCCCAAAACTTTAAATAATTGCTTATTAACATGCCACGCAACAATTTCACCCGGTCGCACTGGCTACAGATTGTGAAGTGTTACAGTTGTAACACGCCAAAAAGGATTTTATTATTGCCTATCTTTTTCATTTTCTGTTATTCAGATGACCGTGTTCAGGTGAATGATTTAGATATTATCATCACTGGCTTACAGTGTGATGCGGGTGGTTACATTTTATGTAAAACACGAAACATGCTGGAAATGCATGAATTTTATATGAAGTTACAGTGTTCAGTAACTGTATCATTCACGCTGATAAGCTTAAATTTTGCTCTTATTCGGATAAATCTTTTATCACGTGCGTGTGGTAGATGATTAAATATAGGTTATAATTATATGCCTTCCACATGGCTCGATTTTCTGGGTCGGAAACAGAAAAATGGAAAATTTCGTGCGAATGTAGGCAACCAACATTTCACCAAGTTCGAATACAATATGATGTTGGCGTTACCGGTAATATTGTTAATAACATTCATAATGCCAATTGTAACAGATTTAAAGATAATTAGTTTTATACACGTTGTTAATAATATAAAAACATTTTTTATACTCTTATGGACACAATTATTATTGGTACATGATGTAAAATTCATAAGGATGTGTACATACCTTTTAATTCGGTGTGTCTAAAATCACGGCGGTAATGCGGTGGAATATCACAAATATTGGCCATACTATTTCAACTCATAGATGAAAGTCTTGACATCTTTCCAGAAAAGTGAAAAAACTTCGCAATTTACATCTTTCTCTATTGCCGCAAAATTCCTATTATCTGCACTTCATTATCTGCACATGTGTGTATTTGTCTAGTAATAATCCCTGTTATAAGATAACGCGTCAATTATCAACCCTAGTTACAACTTCAGTTATCCTGCTGATAACCCTTATCTTTTCTCATTACTACATTTTCTGTGTCAGCCTGAAAAATTAATAAGGAAAGCTTCGATAATTGAATTATGGCGGTTTATTAGAATGATTACAGAGGTGTGCAAGCAAATGCCGATCCTTTGGTAGAAATTATTAATGCAGTATGCGAATTTTCATTCTTAAAACATTTCAAGCCAGTGGCGTAGCACATTTACCCGTACACAAAGAAAACACTTTATTTCGTGGTAAATAAAAACGAAGAACTCATACATCAACTTCCCTGCACGAACTTTAAATGAATATCTACTTCACAGAATCTGGCTTTATTGCTCGTTTCGAGTGACATTTGTGTACCACTTTTCCTACATTTAAATATATGTCAAAGCGTAAACGACTGATAGCGTTTCTGTTATAGCGAATACAATAAAAATAACGCTTACTATTCGCAGAAAATTGTATTGAACTTTTTTAACACGTGCAAGCTTATAGAGCGCTATTTGCTCACGTTTTTGAACATTTGTTGGATTCTACTAGTGGATGTTCTTTACAGTTATCAGTTAAAAAATCAAACAATCAATAATTACTGAATTAATTGAACAATTAAAAGTAAAGACTAGTATATTTTGCCCAAAGCAACGTTAAAATCTGATACACCTTCAAACTATTACAGACATGAGTTCGTGATTCTTTTGTCATGTTGACTACATATTTAAAATTTTATGATGGCAAGTCATCTTCTTATCACGTTTAAAGTGTGTTGGGCGCGTTCCTGTCAAAGTTGACAACTATGAGCTGATATTAACATTGCTGCCAATAATTCAGAACTGCCAACACAAAAATTTGTTTCAATCATTAATAGTCACCCGGTATCACAGAACTTCACAATTTTTTAATTTTAAATATTAGCTGTATGTTCTTCAAGTCACCATTCTGAACACAACATCGCCATAGGAGTGGGCACTCGCATCTGCAAAATTTTCCATTCCATTTTTCCGTTCTAATTATATGAGCCATACATCGCACGGATACCGAATTTTATTTTTAAAGTAAGTAGATTTATAAAAAACAGCTTGCTTTATATTTATACAGAATTAATTATTATTACAGTTATTAAATTTACTTTAAAAAAAGTTGAAGTTTCGGCCGTGTTCCAATCCCAGTCAGCTAATCTTTAAGCAAACCGAGAAAATGGCAAAATGTTCAGGAATTTCCCGAAATTTTTAAACATTGTATAAAATGGCCATACCTCCAGTTTTAAGCACAAATATTTTGTTGTCATGAAACTGATGTTTAACCTAATGTTCATGTTCTCTTTCACAAGTGGTACTAATTGCAAGATGTGCTTTTTCGTAAGTAGGTACAATGACTTCAAATAATTAAAAATAAGTGAATGCTTCGTGAGTTCGTTCAGCATAGTTTAATCTAAATAATTTAATTAATAATCAAAATTCTAGCATTACACTATCGTTGTTTGGAATTATTCAGTAACAAAAAACTCTGCAAGCTGGATATGGAGTAAATGACGTTTCGCATTAATAAAAAAATCGATACAAAAGAAATTACAAACTGATATGAGGCAAATTTTAATAACAATCCAAGTGGATTGGAATATTATCGAGTTATATTTTTTACAGAAATTTGATTGGATAGTTTTATCTAGGTTTTTCGCAATGTTTCCAAACCTCAACAAAAAAAAAAAAAATACATATGGTTCTAAGACCATAACGTGCCACAACATTTAACAATACATACACAAGAAATTGTATTATCAATCCTCGAGCAACAAGAAATTCTGACATTACTTTCTTGCATTTCTTCTCCCGGGAATAGTAAATAATTAAAATCACAAAATGTCTAAATTAAAGAACAATTTATGCAAAAACGCAATTTAGTATTTACATTTACGAAGGTAGATTTCACATTCTTTTATATTTTTACTCCCTGGGCATAACATTTGATAAAATTATATACGTCTGATAAAATAACAAATAACATAAATAACATAAATAATGTACTAATACAGGCATAGCCTTGCCCTTTATCAATGTATTCATATTTTTGGAGTAATTGTTAATCCGTTTCTTATCATGGGTGGAGGACGAGGACAGTCCAGTCCAAATATAAACAAGTATGTTTTCATAACATAACGCGTTTGAATCATAGACAGTGGTGGGATATGGGTGATTAAAGTATGGTACATTAAAGACAAATTCTACAATTAAGTATCTCTAAAAAATACAGCGTCATTAAAAAAAAGTTGTAAGTCCTAGACAAACAAAACAAGTTATAGGGTGTCAAAATAGATTTATAGGATGTCATTTAGCTTTTTATACCCACATAAAAGTTCGCAAGACAGGCGCGGATCCAGAGGGGGGCAATGGGTGCAATTGCCCCCCCCCCCCCCCTGACACACGACCGAGGTACTTTATTTTGACAAATTTCAAAATTTTGAAATCGCATTTCATTTTGTAAACACAGTACAACCTCTATAATCCGAATTCACGATTATCCGAACATCCAGTAATCCGAACACAGGCTATTTGAAGTCGATATCTTTTTAATCCGAACAAAAACTCTGCAATCCGAACTGAACTTGAAAACATGCACCTACTTGCAAAAATGACGCAAGATCTTTCTGTACGTGTTGTATTGAATATTTTGAAATTTTTAAAAATTGCGATATTTCAATGCACTGAATTAATTAACTAATTCTGGAAAAAAAGTTGAAGTTATCGAAGAAATGAGGCCCGAAATCTACAAGAAAAAGTATTTAGTTAAATTTCATCGAAAATGGATAAAAATTTGCATGAGTAAAATTTCATTTTTAAAAAGGTTGTCTAAACATTCTGAAAAAATTCAGGGATATATGTACATCCCGACGTGCTGATTCCAAAAATATAGCATTTAATGGCAACCGAGCAATATTTTCGGAAAATTCGGTGTGAAATTCGAATTTTTCGAAATTTTTACAATTACGATATTTCAACTGGACGAATCTGGAAAAATGGTTTAAGTTACCGAAGAAATGAAGCCAGAAGTGACTTTTGAGGCCCAAAATCTACAAGAAAATGTATTTAGTTAAATTTCGAAAATCATCGAGAATGGGTCGAAATTTGCATAATGGAGGTAATACATAATGGAAAATTTCATTTTTGAAAAATTCATCTAAAAATTCTGAAAAAATTCAGGGTATAGATCCCGACGTGTTGATTCTAAAAAGATAGCGTGTTTATGGTCACGGAGTAATATTTTTTTAAAATGTATCTATTATCCATTGTTGCTTAAGAATTCTTTAACTTTGTTTAATAAAATTAAGGGTTATTTCTTGAAGTTTGTTTTCAACTGTGTATAAAGTTGTTATTCAATTCCCTTTCAGATTTTTGGGAAAATCGCTGATCCGAACAAATCGTTTATCCGAACACACCTTTTTCCCAATTAATTCGGATTATTGAGGTTCTACTGTACACTATACGTGTAATGAAAACAACCAAATGTCACCCACGTTATGTGAAAAAGAGTATACTAGGTAAAATTTTATTTTATAGGAGTAATTTTTTTTGTTTAGAACGAATTTCTGGGAGATAGGTAAAATCGCACAAAAATTGCCCCCCCCCCCCCCCCCCCCTAAACAAATCCTCTATCCGCGCCTGTCGCAAGATCATTTTGTTTAATTTTTCAAAGACGCGAAATTTGTTGGACTGTACTTCAGGTATGGTCTTTATTTTTCTACACGTAAACTTCTCGTGAAGATAGTAAATAACACGGCAAAATTAAAAATCCACCCGTTTTCTTATAGGAAACATTCCCCTAGCCCACTCGAATAGTATTTAAACAAAAAAAGTAGCCAAATTAATAACTAATGCTTTACACGATGAACATTACCAACTTCTGTTCATAGACTGTACATTTTGCCAGTCCCATGTCTTTTTATCAGGGTTAGCCCGATTTAAATCAATGCGTTTTAAATCATGATTCAAATCATTCTTATTTTTTAATGTTCTTTTTAAATGAAAATATGTTGCATATTACGACTTTCTCAAATGCAGTTTAAATCAAAATAAATTGAACACAGACTACAATAAACTATTTCCAACAAAATAAAAACTTAGTTAAAACCTAACAACTTTTAATTTTTATTGCTAGTTTTAGAGTTGCTTATTTATCTGAGCTAAAAATTTTAAGTTACTTTTTAAGTTAAAATTTACTGTTCTTAACTTTATAAGATCATTCCACTCAATTCCTGAAATTTCACAAAACTTTCATTATAACTTTTGTTAGATACGTAGTGAAGTTTGACAGCTTTGTCTATCTATCTGTGGCATCGTAGCTCTCAAACGGATGAAACAATTTCATTGCATTTTTTGTTGTTGTTGTTAATCGGGATGGTTCTTAGTTTTGTTTAATGATTTAAAATACACCGATTTACTCTAATGGCTGTAAACAGAAAGTTGAAAATTTAAAAATCTTCCAAAATTGTCTTGCCTCTCATAAATTGGCCTAAGGTTATTTATACAGAATGTCTCTTGCTCCTAATGTACAGTTGAACAAATATAACTTCTTCGAAAAATTATAAAATTATTATTAATTAAACTGCATTGGGATAAAACATGATTGCGTAAGTAGCTGTTACTATAATAATTATTACCTTATTAATACTAAGTATAATCAGTAAAAATAAGTAATTAAAATTTTCGGGACAATGTGGTGAATCGTTCTTGATTTGAAATCGAACCCGGAACCTTTCAGACGCAGAGCCAGTGCTCGTACCACAACTTCAGTGTGGAAAGTTGTAAATAAGCTCTGCTTTGTAACCAATCAATGGTATGCAGTAGAAACAAAATATATCGAAAAGTTTGTTGACCAAGGCAGTTGGTAGACTGCATTATCACTGATGATAGTTCAGGTGGTTATATTCTCATAGTAAGTCATGCCTGGGAAGCATAATTATGGTATGATGTGACCCGCATTTGTGTACTAATAGGGGTAGACTGCAATGGGCTGTAGCTTTTAAAACTTGTGAACAATATCCATTAAAAAACAAAATAAAACCAATCGGAAGTAAAATGAGTAAGTTCGATCAGAAAGCAGCAATCTACTTGAGCCAAGCTTTTTGATGTCCGAATGGACATCCCAGAAGTACAACTGCAAGCCGCAACGACGCTGCGACATTCCCTAACCTAAAGAAATTCAATACTCGCCGCATTTCGTAATTACAAATCTAGATTGAAAGTTCTTAGGATTCAATTTTCCGTAATACTTTAAAGCAGGATAAATTTCCGCAAAGAAGAAAAAAACAAACTAGCAACTTCCAAGTTCAGTCGAATCTATGGGCCGGAACTGTGCGTGGAACAAGTTTAGATTAGAGGAAACGCTTGGATTCGATACACGAAGTCATTACACAAGAATCGTCTCGAGAGGGAAATGAACTTAACCATAAACACTTTGCCGAGTGACAGTAATAAAGCTATCGATCCAACAAACCGAAAGTTGTTAGGTTCCTCTTTTATCCTACATTTCGGCGCCTTGTCTTTTGCGTCTTGCAAACAAGGCAATCACTATAACGCCCGATCGAGGCACGGAGGGCCCAAGACGCAATTTGGGGATTCGGTTCACACCGCCTTCAGGGAAAAAGCTTTTCGAAATGAAAAGCGAAAACGCTAAACGTGTTGCGCGCACCATATTTTATGTGCAACCTCAATATGTCAAAACGAGAAATTTTACAACGACGGATAAGCTCGATTTAACAAAAATAAATTAGTTTCATTTGAGTGTGATGTTCAGCTGAATTTTTCTCTGTTGACCTGTTTTTAACAGTAGCTATTTCTAAATTGCAGATGATATTTTGCAAGAGAAAATATTTCAATGTCCCAAGAAGAAGAGAGGATACCTTTTCTCACTCGAAATATTCATTGTGATTGAAACATTTATGAAGTGAACTGTAGCTAATTGTGCGCTTATTAGTAGTATTAAAGTATTTTTTTTTAATATAGCAGCTACTAATACCGACTCACAATGATTATTATTATATGCAGTACATGTTGGTAATTTTTTCACGTCACTAATTTGGAAAGTGTTGAAAAAAAAATTAGAAAAATCTTCCAAACTAATCGATAAGTAATATGAAACTGAAATTCTGAAATGCATCACAGTTTTCTGTCTTGGAGAAGAAAAAGACAAGACGGTATACACAAATATTGACATAATAATAGATTTCAAATGTTAACGAAAATAGTCAACTTAAAAAACTATATTTTTTAATTAAAATCACTCAGTTATTATCACTGATATGCTTGAATCACGAAATACTACTCCGTCTTGCTTCCTTTGATTGTGTCTCCAGTCACTACTAAAAATAACATGTAGAAAATGCCGCAATACAAAGCTTTCATAAATGAGTCTGTGAAGGGACAATTATTTGTTACGTCTCTTTCGTAGTATGTAATTTTATGGAACTTTTAATTTATGCACTCTCGGTCTTAAAATTGACTAAGCTGTTAGTATTAACACATTTTTAATATAATTTACGATACACTGAACACAAGTTATAAGTTATAACTAATCATAGTTTATTAAAAGGTTTCAACATGGTAACAATTATGCAACAATGCAGATACAAACAGTAGATGCTCAAAAGTTATTCGAGCAATATCACAGATACATCTATTAAAGATATTCAAGTTCATCAAAACCACAGTAATGATTAAAAACAATAACAATAATAATAATAATACTTTAGTCAGGTATTTGTACACCCAATTACAGGGAAAAATTTACAGTAATTACGAAAATGTCAACAAAACTTATGTCAACACGTCAAATATAGTCGCGGCCAAAAAATCTTGGGCCTCTTTTTTGACACTGTGGACATGCTGACAATGGATGCGACGGTACAAATCTTTTAAATTTCAAATGGTAAAGTGACAATAAAGTACAGACAACATCAAAATTTTCAAAGTGTCAGGTCTAACATACAGGTTTTATGTTCAAGTCGTGGGAAATTTCTATTTGTCGTTTAATTATTGTGAAATGTGCTATGGTAATTATCAAGTTCATAATGTCATTCCGAACTTTTAAAATTATTTTATAAGCAACAAAAAAATACACTACTTCTAATACAATATTTATGCATAATAACAATAATGTTCATTAATAATACATTTTCAGTTGATAGGGCCGCTTTTTATGTTTCTACAGCGTTTCTATACATGATTATAGGGTCGAAGTAGGTCCTGGAAGCGTGCCGCCTCTCACTTTATATGACTTTACTAAATGCCCAAGGACTCATGAGAAATACCATGTTCAAGGCACATGTTCACTCTCGTTTTCTTATTTACAAAAATGTTCTGTAACATCCTTTCGTTAATGCTTTGGACCCATTGTTCAATTTCATGTTGCAACAGGAACTCCTGATTGCTGAGACTATATTATCAAATATGTTTGCGGATTTTGCTCAAGTCGTCTCAAATCATCAAAAACTTCCGCAGATGTTGAAGGTCTTCCAGAAGATTTCCTTTGTTGACACTGCCAGTTCGAACAAATCTGTTGATACATCTCTAATGTCACACTCTAGTTTCTTACATTTGTAAATCAGGGTATTTGACCAGATATTCTTGCTTACAGGGGGTTACAAAATACACACACCCTCCATTTACGAATCTCCCACTGCGATAAAGACGTCCTTTCGTGCTTGGATCAACGAGAATTACTGTAATTCACGATTGAAAAACATTAGAACAATAAAAATGATAACCTTAAATCACAGGTAACAAACGACATTAACAACAAGTGAGAACTGTTATAATGAGGCAAGCGGGATTTTGGAAATCCATGACCAACTACGCCCTTAGAATCATTTATGAAAACCCTGTATAGCTATAATTTAACACTACTAAATTTGTAACACAGTCTTTACACAAATGTCATATTTGAAGATAAAATTTAAATCATTTATATTTCTGCATGACTATCAACAAGAACTGAGTTTCAGCGATACTTCTTCACCAATGCAAAATTATCAGATTTGTCATTTCGTTGAAAATGATAAATAATAAGACTAATTTCAAATTTTTATTTACAAAAGGTGGGTTTCATTTTTGAAAGGTACAATTATTACATTAAACTGCAGACCTTTTACGATAGTGTTCCATAGTCTTGATTACGCCTCATATTGAAGGCGAAATCTTTTAATATCAGAGCGAGTTTCGATGCAGTTGTATTTATTTCAAAAATATATCCTCTTGCCACACAAACATCTTCTAATTGCTTTTACTGTTAACTGGAGTCAAACTATTTCCACATCGGTTTTGCTCGAGAAGCTTTCGTCAAACCGGCCGGAATGCATTTTTCTTTTCACTGTTTAGTTTGTCATGCCAAAATTTGCATAGATAACCCACAGATTCAAAAAATATTTTGTTTTTCATAATTTTTGTGTAAATTACGTTAACCTTTTAATTTTATTGGAATAGAACAATAAATGCACCATTTTTTTACAGAAAATACTCTTTTTTCAATCAACTTTTGTAAAAATAAATCGTAACCTTACTAACGTTTTTGAAATCACTAAATTACAATTCCAAAATCAAGAAACACCAACGAACTTCTAAGCATCTAAACTGCGCCATACCATTTTGTTTGGCCTACTTTATTACCAGGTATAAAAAATATATAAACAAACTAGTACTTACCGACCATTTTGATGTATACGGCGTTTTGTTCAGTGATATTGATTGAAACACCTTCTGTTTTCTGAAAAAGAAAAAACCGTACTTAAATAAAGTTTCTCTATTTTATTATCTTATTAATGTGTTTTAAAATTTAACCTACATTCTTTGTCGACATTTAGTGTAATTATTGTAAAGATATATTACGCACTTTCTCCTACGATGCGTTAATTGAAATGTGAAAAAAACACATTTCAAAATGTATAGTTACTACAACAAATTAGAAATTGCATGGTTGAAGTCTTTAAAGTTATAACATCAGGCATTTTTTGGCGGTAGCACTATTTTTTAATGCATATTTTACAAGAAACTAAGAATAAGTATGCTAACGCACAATTTTTTTTTTTTCGTTAAATGTGACACGTATAAAAAGTTTAAAGATTTTAATCTAACTACATATATATTTTTAGAATATACATATTTGTCCACAAAGTTAAGACTGTGACGTCAGTGACTCTTTACTTCAAAGCTAAAAATAGTCAATTAACTCTCGTACATGTAGATGCAACTGTTTCAGACACTGCTGAAAACACCTTAACATTCAAATATTCTTGAAAATTTTATTAAGAACACTCCAAAAGAGTTTGTATTAGTGTATCATCGTTGACATATCAGATCCGTTGAAACATCCTATATACATACGTATGTATTAGCATTATTGCCGATAAGTTATTAGGAGGTATACTGGAAATTAATATACAGATAGGTACCATGTGATCGAAAAAAAGTCCTTTAGTATGCCATTAAATTTATTTTTAAAATAATGGTGTTGGCAACACCAAGGCGTTCCTTTTTTAGTTTGACAGTTACGGTCAAATAAGTGCCAAATAAAGTGTCAAACAGCTACGATGCGAAAATCGTTATTTTAAAAATAAATTTATTAGCCCACTAGAGGATTTTTTTTGGAATATATGGTACTTGTCAGTACAAGAGAGATTTAGAGCACCAGTGCGAAATGTGTAAAATTACTTTTTACAATATTTTAGTACCTACAATCTACATTTGACTTTTAATCTACGGATGCAATAACACGGTCAATGTAATTACTTTTAATTTTTACTACAGAAATAATAATCTCAAACATATTATTAAAAATAAAACAAAAACAACCCTACTCTAACTCAATTTGAGCGCCGCAGTTTAATTTGCACTTAAATGTCAGATTTTCTTCATCTACGCATTTTTCAACAACAATATAACATGTAAACATAATTAAAAACAAGACAACAAGAATTTCTATTACGCGCATTTTATTCAGTTTAATTGTAAAAGAATGTGACCTGTTAGTTACAAAAAACTGTTAACTAAGGTCATCGTCTAATTTGTCCACCCATAAATTAATTGAGCGCTTAATATATTATGATTTGTTATTCAATCAATCTTAATTACGTAATAGAAGAGTGAAGTGAGCGCTACTCTAACAAAATCTGTGAGATATTTAACAAAAAGCGGTATATTGCACTGTTTCGGAAATCAGTTATCTAGTTAAGGTCCAGGCAAATGAGCATAAAGAAAATGTATTTTCCAAGTGATATTTTATATTATCTGAAAATGAAATCATGTGAAACAAATGTTATAGCACAATCGTGTGTTGTTACAGCATATTAGCAATCAAAGTGTCACGATCTGTACTTTAAGCTTATAAAATCATTCCAGAATGCTGCACAGAGTTACACACAAAAATTTATACAATATAACTACATTTTTACAACAAACTTTCTAAATTTAGTGCTTTCGTTTTGTGAAAATTGTCACCATGTGCTAATTTTAATTTGTAATTCTATCTTTGTATTATTTTTTTACATATATTATTACATCATTTGACATAATGTGCTTCCGATAATCATACCAATATAATAATCTTTTTGATGGTTTAATGTGATTTACATACATCTGTCATTCCTTGTTAGGCAATAAATCATGATTGTTATTATTATTATTGTTGTTTCTTTCATTGTTGCAGAATACGTCTTAGTCTGCATGTCTCGAGGATAATTTTTTTTCTGTGCTGTGATTATGGCTTTCAGATGTTGCGGTAGATTTTTCGATATTAATCTTGCTTGCGCTTGTCACTATTGGAACTACAATCACTTTATCACATCCTACATCTGTTAATATTCTATGCTAGGAACTATATCTGTTCTGTTATTACTTCTTATGTACTCTAACAGCTTATTTCTTATCCATGCGGATTTTGAAAAATACAATTTTTAAACAATCAGTGGATACAATTATTAAAGACCCAAAAGTGAGAATCATACAAGAGTGTGAAAGTGTTTCGTCGGTAGTTCTTACTCTCGAGTATTTGAGAATATGCAATGCCGAGTCAATTTAGGTATCAAAGCTGGGGGGCAATACTTCCAACAACTGTTCCAAATTCAATGAAAAATTTTATTTATGATAAATAAATCATTTCAAATCCAATGAGGTTTTAATTCTTGTTGATATAACACAACTAACTTTCTGACCTCAGCCACAGACAACCCATATTCGGCTTAAATTGTGAAATTGCAAATTCATCACAATAATACACATTTTTAAGAACAAAGTGAAAAACGTGCTAAATTCATTAAACTTTTATCATTGTTTTTAATTAAAAACTGTGTCAAGTTATGACCTACTTTTCGGCCGAAATTGTTCTGTCAAGGTAACTAGATCATAATAAAAAAAATCACCCGGTATTTAAAACAACGTAACAAGCCGAACCGAAGATTAGTCTAAGGTTATTTAAACTAAACCTCCCTCGCCTTTGAAGCACAATCCAATAAAAAAATCTTCTTGGCAAAATTATAAAATATAATTTTGGGAATTTTATTTTTTATTATCCCTATATGTTAAAATGTTAACGTACACGTAAAAATGTCAACTACATTTTCGCAGGGGCACAGCCATTTAAACAGATACAGTGTAATAAAAATAATAACAGTACGGAATTCCCAAAAATTCGGAAAAATGGGGTAAGCCGTACTTGATTTGATAAAAATAAAAAATATATGACATGAAATTGTTGACGTGGATGATCCGACAAATTTTGGTATACGTTTTACATAAACGAATTTTCTAACACACATAAAACTTCAAAGAATCGGTCCAATATTAGATAGTCTGTCTAATAAAATATCAACACAGACGACAGACAGACGGAAACGGGAGCTCCATTTATCATTCTCTGGGAGTCATGAAACGTCGAGAAAAATATAAAAGTAGCCTTTCGACCCCCTTTAACTTTAGCTCGCGAAATAAAAACTAATACAAGAAAACGCTCCGTGTGACTTCTGGTACGTATAAAATCTAACTTGGCTTTATTTAGTCCTAACTTATAAAATTAAAGTTTATCATTCACTACAAACAAAACCATAATTTAAATATTTTTGCTGAATTGGACAGGGTCCAACGCGTTCAGCTAGTTCATTCATTTTTTTAACAGAAATCTTTTAACCTTTATAATCTCACATGTTCGCATTGACTCCAATTTTAATTCGTTGTAAAAGAACACACATACATGAAATGATTTAATCTCCACTTCTATCGTGTGCAATGAAGCTCAGAAATGGAATTAACTGTTGCGACATCATAATTAATTCCGAACCTTACTCGGGTTTCAATCAAATAACACATTTTCTCGAAATCTTTTCATAATCTATTAGAGCTGTCACTTAGGGAATTCAGGAGATTACTAAATGATAATTTAATATATCAAATTACTACAACTGCAGCTTCAATGACTGATTTTTTAACACGTAATGTAACCCTTATAGCTTCTAAATTAACCTCACAAACCAATAATGATAAATGGAAAATATATAAACCCATTTGTTGGTTTTGTATATACTTTATATAAATAAATCCATTCGTCTTCCACTTTCCCAAAACGTAATGTGTAAGTAAAAAGATGAGTGAAGTATTTATTTTGAGTAAATTTATTAATTTATTGAAACATCTATAGTGATGGTAGGCAAAAAATCTTAGATATAATAAAACAACTTTTTGAAGTTATTTAATCTTTAAAGCTGACAGAAAGTCATGTTCATTCGTATACTCAATTCCGCTATTAAAATTTACTCATAGTGAAACCATAAGTCCCAATGTGTGCCATGGCTTCCGGTTTGAAACAAAAATTGAGTTCTATAAAGGAACAAACTCTGTTCCAAAGGGAAGCAAAATAAAACAAAAGTAACGGTCACTGATCCGACGCTGACGGCTCCGGGATTTCTCCAGGCCAGAGGCGTCTTGACGGTCAGATGCTCCAGGTCTCGACTGCGCAGAACGTTAACAGTCTCTAGGAATGCATCTATGTCTCTCTACTCATTTTGTAGAGAATCTAGGTAATGATCAACCTCCACTTGGCACCTGGAAATTTTGACTTGGAAGCACACCATGCTACTCAGCGCTGAGGTTTAGAATAGGTGCGACTTAAATAGCGGTGTCACTGTGTTTCCCGAGACTATTAGCCACTAAACTGTGTCCACTGGTCGTAAAGATCGATCATCGTTTCAGTATTAACGATGTATACTTCCGGTTTTTAAATAGTGAATACTTACGAAATAACGTCTAATGGATCTAGCAAAGTACTGACGATATGTGGAAAATTCCGAATCAAACCCTCAGAAGTTTTGTTTTTTCGCTTTATAATTTTTCGCAGAAAATCGCTTGCAAACCGGACAGTGTTTGTATAACCAATAAATTTGTTATGGACACTTAAAAAATCTGCTTATGTACTTTTAATATTTTCCTCAGATACTGTATTAGAATGTCCCCAAACTTGAAGGGATTTATCACTGCAAAATAGTGAATCTAATGCCTTAAAAAAATTGGATATTTTATGTCATTCTGTTGCATGTTGCCCGATCCTGTCAATTTCCTGCATTCAACAGAGTTCTTTTTTAGTATGATATACATAACACGTGTTATCCAGCAATCAATATGGTTGATACAAGGTACATCTGTTACTGTATATAGGTATATTGTAATACCTAATCATCGATCTTAATAATACTCGAAATATTATTAATATAATATTTTTTC